TGCAAGCTCCTTGAGGGAAGAAACTGTTTAGGGGCAGCTAGGTGGTACACTGGATAAAGCACTAGCCCTGAAGTTAGGAGGACCTGAGTTCAAATCTGGCCTCAGACCAAACACTTGACACTTAACTAGCTTTGTGACCCTGGGCAAGTCACTTAACCCCAACTGCACCCCCCCCCAAAAAAAAGACAAAAAAAGAGAAATGGCAGCGGTGACCAGGAGTCCCAGAAAAGGCAGTCATCAGCTGCTGCAGCCTCACTGACAAGAGGATAATGCCAGCTAGGATGTCGGTCCTACCTCCATCGTGCAGGGAGCCCTTTCTTTGAGCCTCTGAAGAGTCAGGCCACGAAGCTGCAGCATCAAGTATCGAGGACAATGCCCAGACATCAGGTTTCATACTAGGGAAATGGATGGAGGCCATTTGGAAGATCATAGAGGTGGGAGGGGATTTGGAAATTATATAAATCCAATCTCCCAGTTTTATAAATGGGCAGCTAGGTGGCACAATGGATAGAGTGCTGGGCCTGGAGTCAGAAAGACTCATCTCCGTGAATTCAAATCCAGCCTCAGATGCTTACTAGCAGTGTGATTCTGGGCAAGTCACTTAACCCTGTTTGCTTCAGTTTCCTCATGTGTAAAATGAGCTGGAAAAGGAAATGGCAAACCAGTGCATTATCTTTGTCGAGAAAACCCTAAAATGGAGTCAGGAAGAGTCAGACATAACTGAAATGACTAAACAACAATAACAACAATTTTATAGAAGTAGAAACCAGGGCCCAGAGAGGGTCATTAATTTGTCCAAGATCCACCCAATTCATCAATGGTAGAGCTAAAGCCAGAACTCAAATCTTCTAATTTCTAGTCCACTGTTTTCACTGCTTTTATGAAACCTAAACTCCCAGGGATGGGTTATTATTTTTTTTTAAATAAACTTCAGTGGGACAACATCAACCTTTCTATTCCATAAGTGAGAAGGCCCATTTACTAGGTGCTGCACAGGAAGGGCCTCCTGCTGGGCTCTGGTGTGTCCTGCCTGATCTGTCTGGCAGTAACTGACGGGGAGAGGAAGGCAGCACTCACCTTCTTTCTCTTCCGGGAAGTAGTTTCTGTTTGTACAGACTTCTCTCCTCCATCAGTTTCTGCTGCAGCTGCTTCTTCCTCCTCAGGTACCAGGCTGTATTTGGTGCCCCCTGGTTGCATGAAACAGTCCCTGGCAAAATGACCTGTGGAAAGGTGGGAAAGGCAGGAGATGAAGCTCGCTCATCCCTCCCTGCTTTGGTCAGCAGGAGAGTCTTTCCTGGGAGTCCTGGAGAAGGACACCTCCAGGAAAGGGAGTCAGAAGCAATGGTCTGGTCCATGGACTGGCTCCCACACCTCTTGTAATTCTCAAGGCCTGAGCAAATTGGGCAGGGAGGCTGAGCTGCTTTGACTTTGGAAAAGGCAAGAGCCATTTGGATGGAGGCATCTCTATCCTTCCATTAGCACTGGGGCTTATTAATTTTTAAAGCAGTCCTTTTGAACTTACTCCTGGCTATAAAAGGCTACAAGGGAGATGTTTCTGCTGAAGAAGCTGGGGGCAGGCAGGGCCCCCTTGGAAGTCAGGTCATGGCCATGTTTTACCCACCAGGCCAGGAAGAGAAGATCCCAAACCTATCACTGGGGGACAAAAAAGGGGTCACTAAATAGCCTGGTTATTTTCTCTATTACGGCATGGCTGGGCCTTGTTCCACCTTGCCTACTTGGCATGCCTGCTTTCTCTCTTGTCCCAAGTCTATAAATACTGGCACTTTGCTACATGATAGCCACTGCGTCCCAGACCTGGGATAGCCATATGCAGCAAATGAAAGGGTTTCTGCATGCCCTCTACTACTCTCCTGGGGAGCTATATTAGCCAAGTCTCAAAGCCACATGGAAACTACTCAGAGCAAGTCAGCCTTCTCAACTGAAACAACAGGGATGGTCATGGGGTAATGCAGAGGTTTATTAGATTCCCAAGGGAACCAGGGACAGATTTTAGGGGGTCCCTGAAGCTAGATGGAAAAAAGACTGTCCTTGTATTTGCCAACCTCTAACTGAAATGTAGCATTTCCTTTAATTATAAAATCCCACCCACACCCCCAACCCAAACAAACAGAAAATGAACCATTCTTCTGGGAAGGGGGTCCATAGGCTTTTCCAGACTCTCAAAGAGCTCCATGACACACAAAAAGGACAGAAATACAGAGAAAGGAGAACTAGATTCGGAGTCACAGGACCCGAGTTCAAATCCCAGCTTGGCCCCTGGCTTTCTGTGTGAATTTGGTCAAGTCACTGGAACTCTAGAACTATGAGTTTCCTCATCTGCACAACAGGGAAACAATAGTTGGTCTACCTCCCTCCAAGATCGTTACAGGCTTAAATTACAGCACACATGTGCGCGCACATGCACACGCACGCGCACACGCGCGCGCGCACACACACACACACACACACACACACACACACACACACACGTATTTTTACCAGACCGAGGAGGTCATCACTATAGGGAATGGCCAATGAAGAGCTCCCTCCTCCAGAGGAAGAGGGCCTCTTCTCTGAACCTTATGGCCTTCGAGGCCACTTGGGGCACTGAGAGGTAAGTGACGGCCAGGGTCCCCCAGCCAGTTTGTAGCACAGGTGGGTTTAGACCTATAAGTCTTCCTGATTCCAAGGCTAATTCTCCATGTCAGTTATTATTATTATTATTATTATTATTATTATTATTACTTAGAATGAAAATGTAAAATGAGATTTCCTCTGATCTGAGCCATGTTCATACTCCCTCTGAAGAGAACAAAGGATCTTCTCCCATAGGTCAGTTTTCCCTTCTTAGAGCTGACAATGGTATAAGCACGGCCAAAAGTTTGCCATTAGTCATCAGAAAAATCAAAGGCAGGAGAAAAAGACAAATAGATGAGAGGTATGAGTTCTTAAAGTAGAAATGTAGGAGAGGTGGCAAATTCAATTAATTCTGAAGGCTAGAAATTGGCAGAGTATCTCATTATAAAGCCAACATAGACCCTGAGGTGCTACCTCACAGTCATCAGATTGGCTAACATGAAAGAAAAGGAAAAGGACAAATGCTGAAGGGGCTGTGGGAAAACAGGAACACTAATGCACTGTTGGTGGAGTTGTGAACTGATCCAACCATTCTGCAGAGCAATATGGAACTATGCCCAAAGGGCTAAAAAACCATGAATACCCTTTAGCTCTGTAATACCACTACTACTTGTATCCCAAAATGATCAAAGAAAAAGGAAAAGGACCTATATGTACAAAAATATTTATAGCAGCTTTTTTATGGTGGCAAAGAACTGGAAATTGAGGGGATGCCCATCAATT